TTTTAGTGAAGTATTTTTGTGGGAGAATGAGGCTACCTACATGGTTACATTTATCTTTCAGGTGACCTTAACATACAACAGCCTTCTTAGTTGCAAATATGCTACAGTTGGTTTGTGTTAAGAAAAAGGGAGGAATGCCTTGAATCTTTATAAATTTGAAGTATTATTTCTCATTTATTTTATAATTTGAACTTTTTTTTGGCTCAGTTTCCACAGGGTTGAGGGAAAAACCCATTGCCTATCACGGGAGTGTTTAAAGATACTCCATACTGTTTTTAGTCCTTGTGTTTTTAGATTTGACTCCAGAAAGCATCAGATGTTATAATGGAAAAGCATTTCAGAGTGAAAAGGATATTTAAATAAGTTTCCATATGCCCTACAAAGAATTTAAAATCGAGCTTACCCCCTCCCCACCCTTTAATTCAGTAATTAACTAGACTTGCCCTGTAGTTTGGGGGAGTATAATAGTTTACACCTGTTTCAACTTTTGCTGTTTTTATTGGCTATGGCTTTTGCCATCCCATATTTCTTGTGAAGCAAAAATATCAAATAAAATATGGCAAAACATTGGAGAAATTATAATAAACATAAAAATGAATTGTTCAGCTTAAAATATGAAATGCTTTACCTGCACAATCTATGAAGCTATGTTTCAGTAGTATTGAAGTAATTTATTCCTGGAATTCTATGTCATGAAAATAAAGATAACTGCTTTCATTGGCAAGTATAGTCCAGGGATTTTACAATCAAATGATTACATTTTGGAACATCAGGCAGAAGTCTGTTATAAAGACATTAGGAAAAGCCTGCTAAGTCATTATATGTGTATTCCTGTTACTATGCAATATAAAAGGTAGGAGTGTATCAGTGTATAAGAGTGTGAGGACTCAGTAGAACTGTTATACCACAGAATAGAATTAGACTTCAAAGGTCAAGGAATGCTGTGACATCAAGTATGTCTTGGCTCATTTCACAGGCAACATTTGCCCCTCCAACCATAATGAAAAGACAACCATTGAGTCAAGATATTATCATATCTCATGTTTTTCTTACAATCCAATTCTTAGATGGTCTTCCTAGAAGCACCGTTCACTCTTCAGGCCTGGCAGTAGCTGCCCAGCTGTAGTGTTGGATTTAAGAGTAAAATGAGTAGCTTTTTAGTACATTGTCCCAAATGAGAACAGCTAAGTTAAATTTCTAATAAGTTTAGTTTGGATAGAGTTGTGATTGTGAAAAGATATTTGGGAAAGTTGTCACTAAAATTAAATTTTGATTTTGGTTTTATCTCACTAGTGGGAGGCTGTGAAAATATAGGCCAAGATCGTAAGTTGAATGTCAGGGCCTTGCCAATGTTGATTCACCAGCACAGGACTTAAATATTTATGGAATGAAAGAGTGAACTTCTTTTTGTTCTTTTCTGCATCTCTAAAATGAACGTATTAACCTTGGCAGCTTTGCTTGCATGGGGTCAGTAAAAGTCCTTCAGGAGACCCAGCAACCCGGAAATGAGATAAGGAATAGTCACTGTAACGTGCCAATGACTGGGACTAACCATGGTTTATACTTAAGACATTGATCTCATTAAGTATCCAACCAGAGTCTTTTTATTAGGGTAATTGTGGGCTTCAGGAATGGACATTACTCTAGATTTAGGGGAGAATCTGTCTCAGATTTGGAGTTTTTTATACATAAACACTTGGAATGAAAAAGGCCAAAGAATTTTGGTATGAGTATTTTTGGTGCTAATGAGTATCCCTGCCTCCTCTTCCCCTGGAAATCATAAGGTGGTTACATGTGCAGGTTTCTGTTAAATTTTAGATATTTTTCTGGAACATAGTTATAATTTGAGCCTAAGGAAATCCCACCCCCTCCATTTTTTATTCATCCAGGGATTGAAAGGCCATTCTATGAAGTCTATTTAGCTGGAATTCAAATGAAGGGGGATTTAAAGGTTGTGACATAATGAGTTTATCATGAGCAAAATAAATGCCCTAAAGGAAATGTCTGTAATGAACTGTAATTGTAATAGGAAACTTAAAGTGATGAATTATAAGTTGTGAAGGAGTTCCCTGTGGGTGAATCTTTCTTGCTTGATAGGCTTTTGGAAATATCTTTGATTTTAAGTTTCTTTTCAAAGAAGAGTTTCCTTGGTGTCACTAGAATTTTCTCACATCTTTGTGCCCTGCTGTGCAATTTTCATTTCCAAGCAATTTTGTTATCGAGTAGGGCCCCTTCAATTTTTTTTTTTTTTTTTTTTTTTTTTTTTTTTTTTTTTGCTTTAGAGATAAAGGCAGCCTAAGAGATGGCTGAGTTGAAGTGCCCCCAAGGCACTTGTTATTAGGTTTGTGTCATTAGGTTTGGGCACTGTCATTTTATCTTGCCTAGGTTGTCCCTCTAGCTACAATCAGCCACATTTTCCAGTTTATTTGGAAAGTGTGAGCTTTGCTCTTTTGGTTCAAATTTGCTTTTTGTATTTTTAAAAGTTTTATTAATATTGACATATTTCCAGATTAGAGAGTAGAAATCATAATTTGTAGAGTTAACTACCAAGAATGTATTTGTGAAAATGTGTGCTTGAAATGCTCACATGTCTTTGCTCAGTTCATGCTGTAGAAAATATGGTATTTGTGCAGAAAGTAGAAATAGTATTGGCATTATGTATTAGGTTTGTTTTGTTTGTGTGTGTGTGTATTTGTTTTTTTGCTTCTGTAACAAATTATCACAAGTATAATGGTTTATAACGTAAATTTATTGTCTTACAGTTCCAGAGGTCCAAAGTCTCAAATGGGTTTCATTGGGATATACCAAGGTGTTGGCAGGGCCATGCTCCTCCTGAAGGCTCCAGGGGAGAATCCATTTCCTTGCCTTTCCCAGCTTCTAGAGGCCACCTATGTTCCTTAGCTTGTGGCCCCTTTCTTCATCTTTAAAGCCAGCAGTATAGCATCTCTAATGCCTTTCTCCTCTGACCTCTCCTTTCTTTGTTACATGTCCTGCCCTCCCTCTGCTTCTGTTGTCACATTGCCTTCTTGAATTCTGACCTTCCTGCTTCCCTCTTACAGTGAACCCCATATGATGACATGCGGCCCACCTGGGTAATTGAGGATTATCTCCCTGTCTCAGGATAATTTAATGTAATTTGATCACACCTGCAAAATCCCTTTGGCCACTTAAAGTAACATAATCAGAGGTTCCAGGCATTAGGACATGACTATCTTTGAGAGGCTATTGTTTAGCCTACCATTAGAATACAGTTTTTTTTAAAAATTTTTTTTTCAACGTTTTTTATTTATTTTTGGGACAGAGAGAGACAGAGCATGAACGGGGGAGGGGCAGAGAGAGAGGGAGACACAGAATCGGAAACAGGCTCCAGGCTCTGAGCCATCAGCCCAGAGCCTGACGCGGGGCTCGAACTCACGGACCGCGAGATCGTGACCTGGCTGAAGTCGGACGCTTAACCAACTGCGCCACCCAGGCGCCCCTAGAATACAGTTTTAAATTTTTTATTTCTTTTTAGCTCTTGTCATACATTTATTCAGAATGTCTTTGGAAATCACAGAAACATGTACTCTGAATTCTGTTTTTTGGATGCAAACATGTGGATAAAAATACACATTTTGCAAGACTGTAGAAGGTGTCTTTAACTGTGAGATTAAAATTGGTGAAAAAATTTATATTTTAGTACTTGCTATTTTTTTTGAGGGAATTTATTTGAGTTTTGAGTCTTCCACTTAACAGAATCACCTGCCACATTTCTTGGGTCATTAATAATTTTTTAAATTGAAGTATAGTTGACACACAAGAGTCTTTAATAATTTTATAAGTGTCCTGGACACACATACATGCATGTATATGCATGTACATGCAGTGCCCCTTGATAGTGTTGACCAGTAAGTGTTTGGGGTACCATGGTCTTCCAGGTTTCATTGCCTAAGAGTTCTTGCTCCACCTTGTTTCCTTGTCTTGGCCAGTGGCTTCTCCAGTTAACCACTATTCCACCCTGCACCTGAATTTGAGACCCGTTTGGTGTTTGCCTTCTGAAAGATGCAATTTGAGGCTGTTGTGAGCACGGCGCTTTTGTCTCTTTGGTCCCTCTTTCCTTTTAGTCAAATTGCCTACTCCTCTCTACAGATTTAAAAAAAGGTTCACATCGGGTGCCTGGGTGGCTCAGTCAGTTAAGCATCTGACTCTTGATTTTGGCTCGGGTCATGATCTCACGATTCGTGAGATTGAGCCCCACATCCAGCTCTGCACTGACAGCACAGAACCTGCTTGGAATTCTCTCTCTGCCCCTCCCCTGTTCACGCACACACTCTCTCTCTTAAAATAAATAAACTTTAAAAAAAAAGGTTCACAGAGTTGTAAGACCTTCGAATGTAGAAAACTGGGTTTCTCATGTATTTATAGGCTACCATTTACATATAAAAACAATTTGTTCAAATGTAATGACCTTTTAATTAATCTCCCATGAAGTTTTATTGTTGTCTGTGACCTTCACTATTACTATTTAATCCTCATGTTGTTTTGTCTTTATCTTATAAATGTGAATTAAAGTGTGAATGGAAGTAGTATGATGCCAGCTGAAACCCAAGTAGATTATATAGTCTTTGCAAAGCATAGAACAAAAAGGAAGTGCTTAGAACACTATAGTTGGTTATATTTGGTAGTTGCATTTCTTCATGTAGTTCCTTAACTATGAAAGGATGAGATTATAATCATCAATGTGTGAAAAGAGAGACCTGAATCTTCCAGACCAAAAAAAAAAAAAAAAAAAAAAAAAAAAAAAAAAAAAAAAGTGTGAAATTACCTAAAGATGTATAATTGATTGGATTAGTGTTTTGTTTTTTACCGGCTTTGCATCAGAAATGAAGCCTGTTCTGGCAGTCACTGAGCAAGAATGGCATCTTGCTTACTTTTGTATTCTCATACCTGATACTTGAGAGGTTTTTGAATACAGAGATTGAAAAAGAAACTATTTTAAATGTGTATGTTTTTATTTACAGCTGCTGCTGAAGGAAAAGGCAAAAGTGGGGAAGACTTTTTTCAGAAGGTAAGTTGCTTTGTACTCCTGCCTTGGTGATAATTAAGGAGAAATCAGCATGTTGCAGTGGCTATACTCAAAACTCCTAAAAACTCCCCTTCCATATGAAGGGGAATAGATTTTCATGAGACAGCTGGAGATGTTTAGGGGAAAGAAAGGGTGAGATGCTCTTTGGGACATAGCCATTCTAACTTCTTGCTCCTCCTGAGCAAATCTAAGGACATTTTTGCTTGGAGGCAGAGGCAATGAAGGCTGCCATGTGGGCTGTCCTGATTATATTCTTTCTCTGCTGCCCCCTATTTCTTTTTACCCCTATACATACCTGACCTGAGACATGGAGAGGAATCCCTCACAGCTTTCCTCATTTCCAGTAAGCATGACCACAGGTGGGATAATATAATCGACAAAAGATGCACCTTTAGACCTGCTTGCTCACTCTTGGTAACCATGTTCAATCTGTCCCTGTCTTCTGAGAGTTCTGAGTTTCAGTGAAGCCAGTCTGGCTAGTCATATATAACAAAGGGAAATGAGAATGGACCTGACTGAAAAAGGAATATGGGAAACTATGAATAGCAGTTGATTATTTCTAGTCAGCTCTGTTTTAAAATAAGTGCTTTATATAAGAGAAGATGTCTGTCCTTTCAAAGAAATTGACTCAAGTGCATGTTCTTCTTTCATTTATTTGGATTTATTATATTTGTGTCTTTGTTGTTGGGATACAGAAAGCATGTATGTAGAAACAAATATACAGGTGTCCTGGAGTGAAATAAAGCAGCAAGTATAGATGAAGTTAAATAACGCTGGGGAGGGTCGTCAGCCTTTGGAAAAATCAACCTGTGTGTAACCAGATGTGACCTTTTATGGCCTCTTTATTCTCTTGCCTCTGTGTGAGCTACATGTTTTGTTTGCTAACTTTTGCATTCTCTTCCAGGAATATGTAAGCAAATATTTTCAGAGCCGATGCTTGTATTGGCATTTCTTCATTCTGAAAGTATTTATTTACCACTTGCTCTATTCCACACACAAAAGAGACTAAAACGAACAAGGCATAGTCTCTGCCTTAAAGAAATTAGTCTGGTGTCTGACAATATTCATATAAATAGCAGGACAGTCTGGGGCTATAGAGGGTTAAACACTTGACTGGGGCTTTAGAAGATGAGAAAGGATTTCTTGAGTTCCTGAGATGAGTAGTAGTTAAGAGAAGAGATAGACTTGGGAAGGCATTCTAGGCAGAGAAACACAATGTAAGAAGGCTAAACAGGGGTGGAAGGATTCCTGTGGCATTCACACTTCAGACCTTTGGCTTGCACACATGACATCTGAGGAATTCATAGTTCATGGTGAGATATAATATCCTATATGATGAAGTTCCTTATTTGAATGGGGGGGCCCTTTTCAAAAGGGAGTTAAATTTTTAAAATTTAAAAATGCTGTGCTGGCAGAAATAGTTTTCCAGCCCTTCTTTAGGCTCAGGCTGTTGAAGTTTCTGTACTATACCGGAAGCTCCTTACTTGGCATTATCTCTTAGTGATTAATATCCAACATATCAGTACCTGAGCATTTCAGAATGCCCTGCCCTGCCTTTTACCTAAGGCAGGCTTGCCGTGAGGAAGAACAAAGAAGACACATAGCAAAAATGACAGATCTGCCTTGGGTTGACTGAGAAGGTGCAGATAGATGTGATCTGTGGAAGGATTTTATTTCATTGTTCTTTAACTTGTGGATAGATGGAAAAAGCAGATTGTTGAGCTTTGTGTGACTGAGACATTTTAAAAGCTGAATCAAAATACGGTGTATGTGGTCATAAAGGACCTTCATTTTTAGAAGATTTGCTAATATTTATCACTCTTTGTGGAGCCATATATACATTCCAGCAGTTTAAATAGAAACACATGTTTGAATCCAGGAACATGTGTGCGTCCACCAAACCACGAATTGGAATCATAGATTCCATCCTTGGTCACAGGTTAATGAGGTCCTGAATAACTAAATGGGAGTAATTTACATCTCTTCATTTTCTTCTTTAGTTCAATAGCGTGTCTTCCTGATAAGTGTCCATACAGGATTTGGGTAAACACCCTGGGGAGAAAAACCTGTAACTTTAATAAAAGGCAAACACCCCAAATTCCAGAAGAGTACTTTTCAGTGTTTGACCAGACAAAAGTAGACACTGTGGTTCATCTACAGTAGAATGAAGTAATGGAGAAGTATGGAATTGTTCTCCAAGAACTTGCTTCTAGTTTCACACGTATTTCAGTTTCACATAATGGCATTTTGGAAGAATTTAAGAACAAGAAATAGGCCACATTGCTGGTCATTAACATCTGTGGGAAATTAATTTTCTTTTCTCAGAGTAAGGCAGATATGAAGGCTCCATATGCTTATTATTAAAATATGTTTTGGTTTTGACTCTAGGTGTGTATCACAAACCCAAATTAAAACCTCTCTTGAGTTGACTTTAAAACTTGACCACGCTTATTATTTTATAACCTCTAAGTCTGGAAGGCTACCTTCCTATCTTTTTTTTTTTTTTTTAAATTTTTTTTTTCAACGTTTTTATTTATTTATGGGACAGACAGAGACAGAGCATGAACGGGGGAGGGGCAGAGAGAGAGGGAGACACAGAATCGGAAACAGGCTCCAGGCTCTGAGCCATCAGCCCAGAGCCCGACGCGGGGCTCGAACTCACGGACCGTGAGATCGTGACCTGGCTGAAGTCGGACGCTTAACCGACTGCGCCACCCAGGCGCCCCAACCTTCCTATCTTTATTCTGGCTTTCCCTAGAGAGGAGATTGGAGGAGTATGAGACTTTTATATGTCACTTTGTTGTTGTTGTTGTTGTTGTTGTTGTTGTTGTTGTTGTACCATTAAAATATATGTAAAATCATATACTAAATCTATTCTCATGAAAATATTTGAAATTAAAAATAAATTTAAAATATCATTAAGAAAAAAAGCCTTTAAGGATAAGGATTGGCAGATTCCCTCAAAGGTTTTCAATTGTAGCTTAACGACTACTAAGATCATCACATACATTGTTTCAGATTTGGAGCTGTAGCAGTTTATACTTAAATTTCTCCTATAGAGTCACATTTATTGTTTCAGAGATTTACCTGGTTTTCTATATGCTCTTTTACTGCATGTGTTAGGAATATTTTATTTCCCCTGATGCTCTCTTAGAGCAAAAGACTAACCTGGTATTGCAGAGAAACCCAATAATTTAGTGGCTTAAAGAAGAGAGTTATTTCCTTTACTTTCATGTGACATTGTAAGGAGCATATTCCTGCTTCGTGGGTGGCTCTGTCCCATGCTGTCAGTTAAAGACCCACATTCCTTCTAAGAAGTAGCTCTGCTACTCCTTAGGTCATGGATCTCATCTTTGTGGTTGATCTGGGTGAGTACCATGTTCAGATGTGAGCTGGGAGAAAGAGGAAGAGTATGAAGGGGGTGTACCCCAGTCTTAAAGCCTGAATGTGGTGTATGTTACTTCTCATATTCCAAAGGAGAAAACAGTTATGTAGCCTTCCCTAAATGTAGCGATGGACAGGGGGGAGGAGGAGCATATGGAAGGAGGATTGATTTTGCAAGCACTATCTACCAGAAGACCAATAGTTATGACAAAACTATTTGTGTGTGGTCAAAGTGTAATGTCTTCCTGTGGTGTGCTTTGAAACCTTTTGTGTTAGTTTGTTAGGGCTGCTGTAACAGTGTACTGCAACCTGGGTGGCTTGAACAGCAGAAATTGGCTGTCTCACAGCTCAGGAGGTAGTAGTCCAAGATCAAGGTGTCAGCAAAGTTGGTTCCTTACAAAAACTGTGAGGGAGAATCTCTTCCATTCCTCTCCCTGAGCTTTTGGTTGGTTGCTTGGCATCTTTGGTGTTCCTTGGCTTGTAGATGTGTTATCTCTATCTCTGCCTTTGTCTTCACAGGCATCCTCCCTGTGTGTGTCTCTGTATCCAAATTTTCTCTTTTTATAAGGACAGTGGTCATATTGGATTAGGGTTCACCCCAGTGATCTCATCTTACTAATTATATCTGCAGTCACCCTGTTTCCAAGTAAGGTCACATTCTGAGGTGCTGGGAATTAGGATTTCAACATAAGAAATTTTGTGGGGCACAATTCAACCTATAAACACTTCTTAATGGAGGAAATCATTCTGTAGAAAAATTTACTATAATTAGAAAAAAAATTGCTAAAACTGCAAATGTTATTTATCACATTTTTCTCTGTATATTTAACTGCCTAGTCATTTGTACTAAATTTGTTTTTTTTCCTTATTACAAGTCATTTCTAAATTGTCTAGAACAAATCTATAATTAACACACAAGAAGGATTAAAAAAATGTAATCTGTCATCCCATCCTTGAAAGAGAACTACTGTTTATAAACCCTTAGCATTTTTTCTGTGTATATTAAAAATGCATATAAAGTGCTTTTCAAAAATATTCTCTGATTGGCTGATGGAATTATAAGTCAGAATGTTTTCATTGGATACATTCCAAATGTTTTCCTGTATGAATACTTTGCAAGATCTCCAATAATTGTACTTTTTATTCTTTGGCTCTAACTATACTTACAAAAGGGAGGGAATGGATACAACTTTATCAATATTCTCTCTAGTTCGTTTTCCACCTCTCATGGCAACTTTAATTGAAACACATGGAAATGATTCTGCCAGGATTTTTACAGCTCTTTGGGCAGTTGTTCATGGCTTACTCACTGTCTGTCCTGTTTCCTTTTAATCAGTGCTTTTTTTTTCTTGTGAAATAACTATGGCCAGATCTGGGAGGGGAAAATGTGTTACAGTGTATTAGGTGGGGATGAGTGTAGTGATTGTGCTGCAAATGTGACTCATCAAAGCACCATGCTTTATTTAGGAATCCTGAGTCCCAATGGCCGAAGAAGACTAAATCCAGTCAGCATCATAATTGAAAGCCAACTTTTCCATTGCATCAGGTTATATACATTATTTCTCCCCAAAGTATACATCACACATTTTTAATGTAGG